CCTTCCCTTCCCTCTCTTTTCTTTCTATTTCTATTCCATTCCATTCCATTCTACTCTATTCCATTCTACTCTATTCCATTCCATTCCACCTTAAACATCCCTTTTCCCATTTTTCCCTATTTCCACCACATTCCTGCCCTTTTGGCTCCTTGTAGAACATCTGCACCGTTTCTAAAGTGCCCATTATTTGTTTGTCTCTGACCATTTCCCACCCTTTCCACCAAGCCCACGTGACACTTTGTCACTGAGAACAAGCACCAACATCAGCATTTGGCACAAAACTGTTAACAAGAAAATAAACCAAAAGAAAACTTCCAGGCTGTTCCCCACCTGCAAGTCCAGGAAAGCAAGGATTTACTTCCACAGCAACATCAGTTGGCTGCCAGTGGTTCTATGGTTTAGCCCACAGAAAGAAACCATGTTGGGTTATTAGAATGAAAAACAAATGCAAGGGTTTGGCCTGGAAATGACAGGATGTTGTGCATTAAACTGTATGAAAAATTAAAAAATTATTAATAATAACGCAAATGAGAAATTTCTGATTTTTGCTCATACTCAGATACAGACAAAAGTAAAAGCAAAACTCACGTTTTTTTTTCCTAAGGAACACACTTTCATCATTCGAAACAGAATTCCTGAAAAATCTTTTCTTTTGTTCACACCTTAACTCATTAATCATTAGGAAGTAACAATAGGATGGGCAGACACAGATTTTGGGACAGTTTAGGGTGCAAAGCCAACACCAGGGTGGACCAAACACCACATTTTTCTGAGTCACTGCAGCCACTCATTTAACTCTTCATAATCTTTTGGGGATTCCACTCCCAATCCCCAAAAACCAGAGAGGAAGAGTTACCTGAGCAGACCTCCTTGTAGGTGGGGTTTGGGGTGTGACCTCCTGCGTAACCCACTTGAGTGGAGTAAACTCCCTTCTGCCTCCAGAACTTCCTCTCAGCTCCCCAGAAACAGCCCATACCTGCAAAGGGCACAAAACACACATTGTTACATCAAAATCTGCCAATTAATCACTCATTTGCATATTAATTACAGTCCACAGTGGAGGCCACATCTAATGGCAGCACCTGCTGGTCAAGTGTTTTCTGAGATTATTTATAGGGTAACTACATGGAAAAATCCATTCTGCAGCAGAGCATGACACAAATAAAGCTGATTTATGCTTCTGAATATCAACATATTACCAAGGACAAACCTTGCAATGGTTCAAAGGCCCAAACAAGGAGAATTCTCAAGCACACACCAAAAATAAAAGTTATTTAAAAGGTGGTTGTTCTATTTGTGCAGCACCATTTTTGCTTGAGTTGATTAGGAAGCTGTCAAAACACAATAATTTGTATTAATGGCAAACAGTTATTTAATTTTCTGCTTTCAGGCAGAGGTGGCAGCAATAATGGATTATATTATGAGTTATACAAGAGGAAAAATGCTTCAGTTTAGCAATTTATTCACGGAGATACTTGATGTTCACGCAAGATTCCGGTGGTCGTTCGCCCACATGGCCAATTATCAAAGGACATCAAACTGACAAAGGTGTGAATTAGCAAAACTCTGTTGGTTAAAGGAATCTCAAGGAACAAACACAACCAACATTTCCAGTTGTCTGATGACTTAGTTAAATAAATGTTTAAGAGACTAATTATTAGATTATTCATTTAGAGTGTCATGCCCACTCCGGTGCTGTTAAGATGATCCCTGATTGTGTATTTTCTCTGCCTGTTATTATTCCCTTTCCAAAACATTTGAAATAAAAGGCAGTTAAAAATAAGCTAAATATTAAATACACTTAGAAATCAATGATCCATGCTGGGTTTTCTACTGGTAACACTGAAGATTTGACAAGTTAGAAAATTACAGAAACGATCCTTCAAAGTACAACCAGAACCTTTCTCAACCTCGATGGCTCACAAAGGCCTGTTATTCCTTTGAATCTTCAGAGATTAACTTAAATTAAAGTTGTAATGGACCGAAAATTACAGAAGTCACGACTGGGATTTCTCCTAATTCAGGTGTTCAAGCAAACTGCATAAATTAGGAGCTCAACCTGCTCCTGGAGGCCATGGAGAGAGGGAGGAACCTCCTGAGGACAATTCAGCCCACACAAGATATAAATTGATGATCAAATTAGTTATTCTACCCTAATTACAGAGATAACTGGAGCTGTTGGGCTTGGGTTCCTCAGCTCAATCAGGCTGGTGGCAATTTGTAGGACCTCTCTCGAAATTCCCTCCCAGTTTTGCTTCGTTCCCACAGGTTTGATCACTGTTAAAAAAGTCAACAATCTGCATGTCCCTGTTAAAGTGCTGGGAACGAGCGTTCCCCACTGTCAGAGGCTGAAATAGTTAATGGCTTAAACACTGCAAGATCACCAAAAGACTTTTGTCCACTGCAGAAAACTGCAAAGCAGCAGCTCCTCACCCAGCAGGGCCCACCCCCTCCCTGAATATGCCAACCAGAAAAGCACCTCCAGATCAGAAAAGTGGGTGCCACTGTCCAGCCATCCCGGGTGCAGATGCACACCTGAAGCTCCAAACTGCATTTCCAGATAAGGGAAGAGGCCAAGAAAAGGCAAATCCTGCCAGGTGGGATAATCCTTCTTACCATACCAGTGTCCTCCCTTACATGACGGCTCTGCTGTGAAAACCCCTCCTGGGAGCATCGACCGCTTGTGACACGTCCCGTGACATGATCCACGGTGAAACTCCCCACCCAGGGGAGGCACCAGGCGTTCCCACCTGAGCTGGAAGTGTAGAATAACTCAGGAAACCTTTGAGGTTTAGAGAGGGAGGGCTTCCCTCACCCTCAACAGGTGAAGAGCATCACTTCAACCAACAGACATGGAAGCTGCAACTACCAACTTTCACCATTGGATCAAGTGGATAGTGACTATATTTATCAGTCACCTTACATATATATATCCTTATCCTTTCTTTCTCTCCCTTACACATTCTTTTAAGTAGTATTTTTATGCTTTAATAGTGCTATCTTGCCATGTTTTAATATTGTTATATTGCTATAGCTGCTTTAACATTCCTAAAGATTAAAACACCCAAACCAGCAACTTACCTGTTTACCTTTGAAACAAAACTGTTCTAAAATAAACCTTACATCTCTTATGTTTACAAACACTGATTATTCAGTGTTGTTTCACTCTAATCCACCCCAAGGGATTTATTAATAAGAACCTGGGTTACCCTGCCCCTCTGGGGTGGGTCATAACACTCACACATTCCCCAGCACTCACTGTACTGTAGCAGGGATTTTGGCAGGATCCATGGGATATTTTCACAAGGAACTTGTGTTCATGTGTGGTTTTACGTGTAGGTATGAGAAATAGGGATTACAACACGCTTCCAGAGTGGATTTTAGGAGAAAAGTCTTCACCAAAAGGAGTGTCAATCACTGGAAAGCCCTTCCCGGGGCAGTGGTGGAGTCCCAACTCCTGGAGGGATTTAAAAGCCACAAAGTGGATGTGGCGCTTGGGGACATGGAGCGATGGTGGCCTTGGCAGTGCTGGGGGATGGTTGGGCTGGATGATCTCAGAGGGCTTTTCCAACTCTGTGATTCCGTGTTGACTTGACCCAGTGACCTCCAGATCCTCCTCAGAAGTTCTTTCCCTTTCCCCTCTCCCAGTTCATGTCTGAGCTCATCCTGCTGCCCTTCCCCTGAGAGACAGAGACATTTTATTCCCTTGCTGAAGCCTCCTCCTCATTTCTCTGCCACCTCGCAGCAACAATAAATCCTCCCATCCACGGCAACAGATAAAATTGAAATCTCTGTCACAATAAAACAACCTGCTCCTAAAGAGACATAATTTACAACAATACAGCACTAAATTGCTTTTCCACGGGATTAATACAATCAGAGGCCGATGTTTGTTATTCTGCTAAAGTGGTGCCAGAGAAATTGTCATAAGGAGAGAAATATTAACAATAAAAGCCCACATAATATTCCAGAGTTAAGACACGTGAGCTCATGGAGTGCCTGTTTTCCAGAGCACTGCCCGCCTTAAGCCACGGAAAACAGGGACAACAACTGCTAAAACAGGGAAATAATTGCAGTTCAAACTTGTAGAACAAAAAGAAAAGTTGATTTTCCCTAATTATTACTACTCTGGGATGGAAACCAAAGAAATAAATAATTTAACTAATAAATTTAAATAATTAAATAAAACTCAAGAGGGGAGGGATAAAAGGGCAAAAAAAAAAACAGTAGGGAAAGAAACATAAAAAGCCAAATAAGCCACTCCTGTTATAATTTGAAACTGGAAAACATGAATGTGATTTTAAACTATTCATGAAGGAATTTGCATAATCCCCAGTCCTGGTGAAGTGAGTGGAGCTTTGGAGGGGGATAGAGAGCTTCCCGAGGCATTCCTAAGAGAAAAGGAAGAAAGGAAATACTGGGGAACATCCTCATGTTCCCAGAAAAGAAAAAAAAAAAAAGGAAAGTATTATTTGAACATAACGGGAATTGCAGAAGAGTGTCTGAGCATTGAAGATATTTGTCACTTTTTAATTGCTAATTTGCAAAACAAAACCTATTCTTTTAGTGATGGGTTTTGACTGACTCTTAATTGCAATTTCAAAAGGTATTTAAAGATTGCTTTTTTTTTTGCTATTTGAACTTCAAAACCAAGCAGACTCAAACAGGAATCTTTAATGGTTCAGTCATCCCTATAAATAATATTAATCCTAGAATTGGGGGATAAATGATAGTACCCCTTTTCCTTTCTAGAATCCACATCCTTTTCCTCAAACAATTCCCTTTACGGATCCATACACAGATAGATCCTCTAAACATCTCTTTTTGTCAGCCATGTGTCTCCACAGGCAACCCAGAGTATGTTTATATTTCTAAGAAACAGTCACCATAAAATTAAGTATTCTTCTAAAACAATGAAAGCCAAGTGCTACTCTGATAAGACATAAACATCCCATTCTTGGACATAATAAATGGTGAGATATTCAGTGACAAACTGAGCAGAATTGCCCCCCAGGTGATTCCAGAGAGGAACAGCTTTATGGATTGTGTTAAACACATGGACCAGGTCTGCACTGACTGCACAGGGGCTCAGACATTCAGGGATTAATTTATTTGACTAAATGGAGACGTTTGGGGTCATCTGAGATGCCTCAGGACATCCAAGACATCTGAACACCCAAGGCTCACACAGATGACACAGGAATTGGGAGAGACACGAGTCATTCCTGAAAGGCATCCTGAGGGCAGGGAAAATGCTCCTGGACATCAGAAATGTGACTGTGACACGGGGTCACAGAATGGTTTGGGTTGGAAGGCACTTTAGGATCATCTCATTCCAACCCCCTGCCACGGGCAGGAACATCTTCCACTAGCCCAGGTTGATCCAAGCCCTGTCCAACCTGGCCTTGGACACTTCCAGGGATCCAGGGGCAGACACAGCTTCTCTGGGCAACTTGTGCCAGGGCCTCACCACCCTCACAGCCAACAATTCCTTCCCAATCTCCCATCTCTCCCTGCTTTCTGTTAGTGGGAAACCATTCCCCCTTGTTCTGTCCCTCCAGCCCTTGTCCCCAGTCCCTCTCCAGCTCTCCTGGAGCCCCTTGAAGCTCTGGAAGGGGCTCTCAGGTCTCTCTGGATCCTTCTCTTCTCCAGGTGAACCCCCCCAGCTCTCCCAGCCTGGCTCCAGAGCAGAGGGGCTCCAGCTCTGGCAGCATCTCCGTGGCCTCCTCTGGACTCTTTCCAGCAGCTCCACATCCTCCTGCTGTTGGATCCCAGAGCTGCAGGGTCTCACCAGAGCACCCCATTTGCACTTTTTAAGGACAGAGAAACCAGTCCACGCCCCCTCCATGCTGACATTACAAACCCCTGAAAATCTCTGAGTCTGAAGTTGAATCAAATCTCCCAAAATACATCGATCTGTGCCTCAAAGTTGCCCATTTCCCTTCCACACCTTTAAAAGGTGACTAACCTGACTAG